CCCTCCGAGCAGGATCACTGCTCTCGCGACTCCACTCTGGACGGCCAATGAAGGCAAGCCAGAGGTGGGAGACCTGTTCCTTGTCATCGTTCACTTCAGCCAGCCAATTAAGGCAAGCCGGAGAAGAAGGAACGGTGACTTCTCCCTGGAGCACTCGGGATGATGGTAGCCCGCGGGATCGCTAATGCCCGTCACCTCGCCTCAAGGTGCCCTGCGGGCTTATTATTATTATTATTATTGACCGAGCACATACTTAATATTTATTCTCTGCTTGTTAAGAAAACAACGAAATCTGCACAAACAATAGAGATGCATTTTATTAGCCTTACAAACTAGTTGATTAATGTTTCACTACCACGGGATGCACACAGGTGTTTAAAATGTAAATAACAACTACATTAGCTGGGCGGTTTACTACCACTGGGGAGGCACTAATGGATATTAACGTAAAGTTTTTAAGTTGATGTGTTCACACCCACAAATTAAGAAGTAAATGAAAATGTCGCGAACGTTGAGAAAGTAACAGAAGTAGATAAAAACTAATCATTAAACAGCAGACAGAACTCCAAATAACTCCTAAGCTCTCCCACACTTATTTGACTCACTAAATGGGTTTTTGCTCTCTCGAACGCTGAATCGTTTTATGGCATCGGAAAGAGGTAGACTCGCCCAATTTCATCAAAAACCCCGAGGCAAACGTTCAAGATTGAGCCAACAAATAAGGACGTAATAATATTGGAAAATCACTAAACGTATTTTCAAGGTAGATAATAAATAACTCGAAGATGATATGAGACAAACATTGAATGAAGGGGTAAATATAAATAAATAGCCATTTATTGTTATTTAATTTACCTTATAGAAGAATATGTAGACAGTAAAATTGTTATTCGTGTAAGCAACTAGTGGATTGTATTAGGGTTTGCATTATTAAATGCTTAGTGTGGATATGTACTAGTTTACAACGAACAACGCATCTGCAATGCTAAAATAAACATAGCCCACGAGGCCTCAGTACGTGCAGGGTAGATAGTAGGCAGGTGTACGATGTAACTACCCACTCAAACAACGAGTATTGTATCTATACTTTTATGAAAGCTTCAAGTATCCAACCTTTAGAAGACTCGTTACTTGTTACACAATAAATTAAATTAATTGCTTAACTTTCCCATTATCATAGTTAGCTCAAATATATTGTAGACTCTTAGGCCATGTTGAAAGAGTTAAGTTATAAAAGTTTTCTATTTCTTAGCAGATTTCAATACCATATCGGTATCTAATAAAGATTCATAAAAAACTTTACAATAAAAGTATAGTACCTACTTACTATGTCCATTTTAACTTATTCGTACATTTTCGATTTCGAAATTTACTTAACGCCTGTCGCGTTGGTCGTCTGACGTCTCTTGTTAAAGGTAAGTAAATGAAACCGCAAAATTGAATTTGCCGCAACTTTTTGCAGTTTTCGCTTGGTCAACCTAACTTATTAGGTTTATTGATGTTATTAAATGAACTGCCCCGTCACCATTTATTGCTTGCAAGAAGGAGTGTGCAGGCCCGGCTCTAACTATTCGAGCGCCCGCGTGCAAATACCGATTATGCTGCCCCTTTTTTTGTGGGGTGGGTAAAAAGTCATGAAATGCCTCTTGAGGAAGTGACTCTTACGACTCATACTAACTAAAAACCACCCCATTCCTTCCAACACTTGCTCAAAGCCAGGGCCTCAGTACCCATATGACAACCTACCCTCCAGCAAGGTAACAATCCTGGTGGGCTCCGTCTATGGTGGTCTGATGACTCTTTGAGGACCGCATTTTACGCGACACGCCGTGCCGAGTAACTCTAGAAAGCGATCGAGGGCGCTGGATTGTTTTCGAGGACGCTCGATGGTTATCCAGTTACTCTCGAAAATGGTAGAGGATAGTTGATAGTTTTCGAATCTTTCTCTTGCTTAATCTATCACTTGAAAACTGTCGCTTGCTTAATCTATCGTGTGCTGTGCACGCTTTGCATGCCCGCTTGTGGCGGGCCTGGGAGTGTGATACACACCAATTTTGTACTATTTAAAAGCCTTCTTTCTAATTACATTATGTCAAACGTAAAATGAATACAAAAACTTATATTAGAAATTACAAACTTGTGGTCTTGAGGTCATCCCAGAAAGTAGCCACAAGGGTTAAAACATATTTGAATAAGTAGATACGTCCAAATATTAATATTTCCAAACCCCAAGTAAGTATACGCTACTTCGAAACTCAGATAGAATTTCAATTCACCCGAATGGACTGTTTGGTTAATAAACGTATGTAGGTTAGTAGCAACCGTGAAAGCTACACTCGTAAATATTAGGTGAGTGATCCATAAAATTTGCATTAAAATTGACATCCGTTCTCTATTTTATATTCTTCCTTCCAGCTGTTGGAGATGTGACGATGAATGAGAGAGTGGGCGTACTATATTATACCAATCTTCATACTGAATAATATTAAACTATTTTCCGACACCTCGCAATCATTGGTGAAATGTTTATTGTACTACCTAGTGACTTTGAGAAAGGGTGCCTGAAAGAAATTGCAGAATACAAGACGGCACATTGATTCATCTTATTGTTGGTGATTTGCAAATTCTCAGAATTTGGAATTTAGTGCGGTATTTAGTGAACGGCGGCGCTTTTCACGCAAAGGTACCAAAAATCGGAATAAAGGAGAGACCTTGACTTACTCCTTCAAAGAATAAAAAGCTTGACCTTATCTCACGTATGTACAAACAAACCCGGACCTTTTCCGATTCCATGTATAATAGAAAAGTCTGTACACAAACAATACAAAATGAGACAATACGACGACTGTCACAACTATTCCCAATATATCAGAATAGTGTTAAAATATAGAGTATGCAGTCCACGTGAGAAATGTTTTATAAAGCACGAGCGTGACTTGTTTCGAGTCATATTTTTCAATGACACTGTGGATGGTACAGCCATTTGCAAGTGGAGGGTGGCGGGTGGTCCCGGCGGTGTACTATAAAGTTTCGTCGACACGGTACCTGCATCACGGCAACGATGCCCGGATGTTGTAATTTCAAACTACGAACTTTGATGAACACTGTACACGTATGACGCGGATACTTTGGATAATAGCCGCTTTTCATTTACCTCCACTGTTTGTGGGATTTGTGTGTGTACACTATCGTTTCATTTATGAGGAAAAATAAGGAAGGTTTGACTAAGCATTATTGTTCGTTTTGAACGAGATTATATTTTGCTTCTGATCCTCTTTGAAAATAACATTGAATACACCTTAAGTTTTTGTAACCTTTGGACAGAAGTGTCTGTAAAGGACGCCCTGGAATGACATTTGCCGGACGACCCTATTATTTGTTGTCCTTCGACAAGGTCAGGTGCCTGGTACTTGCAAGATTCGCGCACGACGAGGCATATTATAGCTTCTTTCAAAAATGGAAAGTGTGAGAGCTCTTAATATCTTCGGCAAATAAATTCACAAATCTCTCCACGGAGATCCATTACCTACTTAAAGATTAAAATTTTGCGCGCGGCTTGGAGATGTTTAGTAATCGATCTCGTGAGGCTCGTATTTTATTTATGTTTATAAAACATTTATAGTTAATACCACCGGAAGAAATGTTGGTCAGAAAGCTGTGAGATTCCTCTACAATTCACAATTTTTCTCTCGTTTGATCTCCAACAATGAAAACTTTTATGAATTTTAAGTTTAGGCCTCTTTCTTGCACAGATTTTCTGTTTCAGTTCTTTTATGGAATTTTAAAAATGCAGACTCTGTTCGTGTTTTTGTATAAGATCGTATAGTCAGAGCTACAAGTATCTTTTGTGTGCATTTAGCCTTTGGCTGCAGCCCACATGACCTTTGCAGCTCAGTATTCAGGTCGAGGTCGCACCTCTGACCCCAGGCTCCCACGGGCACATTACGGGCGCCACATCAGTGCCACAATTTGTGTCTGGATACCACAAAAGCAATTGCATTGGAAACCGATACGGAATGTTCAGTATTAACTATTCAGTAAATTGAGATTAATACACTTAAACTCCGATAGTTGTTAGTGGATCTTAATGTTGTTATACAAGTTCCGAAATAGGTTATTCTGAGACATTAATCTCTGTTACACGTGTTCAGCTGATTTTGGTTGATAGATTCGGGTTGAGAACCGTTAAATTTTGGTAGACAAAAGATTTCATACAACAATGGACGCCATCAGGCTTTTTGTTGTTTTTGAATCTTTTGCAACTATGCGCCGCGACTTTGATCAATTGTTGTTAACGTGGGCATCTAAATGATTAGCAAGTCTTAAAATTTGGGTCAAAAATAGAAAAGTCATCTTCAATGAAAGGAAGCTCCAACAATGCTCGACGTTGTTTTTTACAAAAAATCTAGATAATACTTTGGATTTGAAAGAGGAGGCTATATTGAAACGTGGTTCGTTTTTATTATTTTATTTCTTTGGGATGGAATGGAACATTTCTATCGAGGTTCATCGAGCCGGGGTTGCAACGGGAAATAAGGTTGTTTTGTTGCATAAATGCAAATATATCTGTACCTGCAGTAATAATTAGTGTTTCTATGGACTATTATTTTCATTTCACATTCCTTCCAAAAATAAAAGATACAGCTAATCCTTAAGACATGTATATACATGTCTAATAATATTATCATTGGATGATATAGAGACATGGAGCGTTAGGTTCAAATTAAAAACGTTACGATCTTAACAATTAAGTCAGTACATAAATGGACTGTGTGGGTTTACATACAATACAAGTAGTTATTGGGCCAAAGAAGCCGCACGTCCTTGACATAAAGCTGCGACAATTTCACCCACGTAATGACGCAAGGAACAATACTGACTTATTTTTCATTTCTTCGAAATTAAAGAGTTATCCCGCGATACTTTACCAGTTTACGAAATGTACGTAGAAGTAACAAATAAGTGAAATAACCCGTCCGCACTCGTAAACTAATTCACCGCTTTTAAGTACTTCAGTCGGATACTTTTCTTTATCACCTTACAGGCAAGCTAACCGACGAACCCATTCCAAATGGACCTTTCCTTTTCATACCATGTCTTCATGCTTGTTTCGAACTTATAAAAGCAACTCTATTACACAGAATACAAAATTGATAATGATAGTCCACTACGTTGCAGTGACGATAAAATTTGCTGATGGTTGCTAACCGCACATGTTCTGATTAAATAATTAAAGTATGCTAAAGTAGGTCAACAACGTACCTATGAGTCGTTGGAGCGATAAGTTGGTCGATGCTGCGCTTTCAAAAACTTAAGAGCTTGTATGGCATAGCCTGAATAGCTTAAACAAAATTGTACCATATCATCTTCATGTTATGATGTTAATTCAAAAGTTTTCCTATTTTCGTGAATGTCACATTGGTCCGACAAGGTCGCCTTATTAAATTAAGGAAGTTTCGCTCCTTGAAAACACAGTTCTGACAGAATTTATAAAGCTTTTCATTGGACGTTGAAGCTCCTACTTTTTGTATGGATAAAAAACGGTAGTTAGAATAAGTTTCCTTGTGGTCAGTAAAGGAAAACCTTTTGAACTGTTAAACTCTGTGGAGCAAAACATCGTGGTGCTACGTATTTTATAATGCTTGATTTAATCGATGCTTCTGTTGTAGGTGTAATGTAGTTCTTGTTTTAACACTAGTTTGCTATTCCATTTTTTTTTGTTCGATAGGTTTTTATATTTTTAGAAATAATTTATGGGAGCTGAAATTTACTTCTTAAGATAATAATTTAATCAATTTATGTACTTCTATTCTTAAAAATACATTGTTCTTTTTACAAGATCAAATCCAAATGATTTCAGAAATAGACGTAAAACTTTCTCATTGGTCAGCATTTGGTAATATTTCTAAGAAGCCTCAACCGCGTGTCCCAGACATAAAACTTATCCAATATAAACTCGTAATAGTTCATTACCAAAACCAGATTTCTTTGCTACGAATCTATATTGCTACGACGGAGTGCTACGCGGTTACCGTGCTACGTACGTAGGCTGACTACGTAGGCGTATTTGCGATTGCGCCGTAGCGAACACGTTTCCCTATCTCCTGAGCGATAAAAATCCTTTCACATTTTTTATGACTTGGGTTTTCAAAGTGATAACAATAATGATTTATTTTAGTTTGAAAATAAGTGCTTATTCTCACAAGATTTTATAGCTATTACAGAGCTCTTGTAAAAACACAAATAAGATGTGTGCGAGAAAATAAACACAAGCAATTTAACTATTTGTGTTTACTAGAACACAAGTCATTGACTGACACTCAATTAAATTATTCCTTTCACTCTGTTTTCTCATAGAACGGTAAACATTGTAATTTATTCCATTCGTCAACAAGCAGTTCAATCTAGGGAATAATTATTTCACAAACAAAGAGAATTAAAACAACAATTTACATTTTTATTTATTTAAAAGACACATTTTATAAAATTATCTCACACGCGATAGAACTATAATTAATCTAGAAAATAACGAATTATGTCTGTATGCCGTACTTAAATGCACTTCAAAAATGCAGCAGGCAGGTGGTGATTGTGAATTCATGGCACTCCACGTCCCGGCTGCACTTTTAACATTATACGAATACAAACACATAAAGCAAGTATTTGCAAACATGGGCGATGTGATACACGACATACACGATACCAACCAAAGGAAAGGCCTCCAGTTGATAATTGTCATTGATAAGACGGACTAATGATGCATGATAACACACGGGAACATTTATTCGAAATACTGTAACATTGTACACAACACGTAATATTTTACATTACTTCTACAACTGTGAATATACACAATAATAACGTAATTGTACATTAGTAAGTAAGCATATACAATATACATAGATAGATTTACATTGTGCGTCATTTAAACGAATTTCAAGGCGGTTGGTTTTAGTGGTGGATTTTCGTTGTCCGAGCACATGTAGGCTAACTTACAGACTGGTTAATAAATTTATATTTTAAACTTCACGCAAATAGCGTATCGTAGACAAAAGTTTATTTAGTCTCAAGAGATTTGCTTCAGCAAGCACATAATTAATGTCTTTTGGTCGTACCACCACAACCAACACGTAAATGGTTTAAATAACGCTCATTTCGACCAATTTCACTATTCGATAATTATTTACCTTAGTATGAATGATGGAAAACCACACATTAAATGCGAAAATGGATCAGCAACATACGCGACTGACAGAATTGATCGAGTGCCAACAAATAATCGGGTCAAGCTGACCTGAGTACTAACATTTAGGTAGTCACTTATCTACTTATCAGATTTCAAAGTATATACCTATATTGGTTGATATTTACTACGACTTATATTTTTACAATGTAACTTGATATGGAACAGTACATGCCCGAGCAATTTCATTTTGTACTAGCGAGTGTTGCCCTAGAGCCGGGTCTAGTCTGATACATAATTTTGTAGGCGTCTAATTTACACAAAAGATGAAAACGGAGATTATAATGGAACGGTCGAGTGAATCTTTTGTTAATTAACAAAATGTCATAAACAGTCTCATTGGCTGACGTTTAGATAACAGACAAAAGCTTTTTATTATAATTCTGACATGATTGTTAAAAGTTAATTTATTACACTGGCTTAGGGCGATGCTGATGTTTTTTAGTGTGTAGGTGATTATAATATAATGTGATCAAGTGGGTTGTAGTTCCCTAGAAATGGTGAACCGTCTTCAGCTTATACAGTTACATAACTCGAGTGCTCTGCATGAGAGTTTCATTTGGCACACGCCAACCACGTTACCCACGTATTATGTAGATGCTAATTGTTTATTGCACTAAGATAACCAGTATGCCAGCTCCTTGAATATATCTATATTTATATATTCCAGTGCAATTCCTTGAATAACGATATTTCCAGCATCATATCATCTTAAAATTATTTGACCAATGGCATACTTTCCAGATGGTAACAATAAATATATTTTAAGACCTACCGCGAATATCATAACTTTAACAATTTGATCCCGTAAACTCAAAGTTCGAGATGAAAGCGAATTCGCATTTTGATGGTAGGTATGAACGGCACCGTCGGTTATACTTTGTTTTTCACATTTGACCTTTATACCCGCTGTGTAAATTTAAATTTGTTGTTAAAGATATAAAGGTTTATAGGGTCAGTGAGATATAAACCGAGGTTTTAACAGTTGTTAGAGTTGAGCAGGCTTAATCAGTGTAGAGGCCTTCGTAGAGGGATCGCGGCATGTGCTCGGCGAGCAAGGACTTTAGCTTCTCTCGGGGGGAGACGGGCGTGTAGCGTGCGAGCGGGAACGTGCGTGTCACTCCATCACTCAGGGCACGTGTCACGGCGGTCAGGTCGGCGTCCTGGAACCAATACAACTCATTACTCATCATACTCGTGCCTTTGACGTCAGTGAACTACTAATGAAGCGTAAACAATAAAAGGAGATAAAACCACTGATGTGAAAATTACAAAGTCGGCTCACCAAACACTTCTCACATCACTGGCTTTGTTCGTTGTTGTTGCAGTTAGGTACAAGTATTTACGTGACAATTTAAGAAAATTATCAATTTATTTTTTATTTTCAGAAAGTACGGTGTTTTGCTATATCACAATTTTCTCAATCTGAGCATTATTGAGTCTTGAATTGCCTTGTTTGACAATACGCTCGCCCCTTTCGCGAGGCAATCCCTGAGGCCAAAGTGGGTGTACTAGCTCCGGGAAATAGAAGGCATGACTTTATATTATGTAGTACCTATATAACTAAAAAGTAATTTGTTGAATAAACGATTGTTTCTATTTTAAAAAATCTACATTGGGTGCCACACTCGCAAGGACTTGTTGGAAAGACTTGTACCCAAGTTTTAATTTTGTCATAACATAACATCACGCCTTTTATCTCCGAAGGGGTAGGCAGAGGTGCACATTATGCCACTGTGCTATGTAACACCCACTTTTCACTATTTATGTTATGAGTGCCGTGTAATAGGGGTGAGCCTATGGCCATATACCGGGCACAATTCCAGACTCCGTGCTACTACTGAGATTTTTTTTAAAAATCCAGTAGTACTTTGCCCGACCCGGGAATCGAAACTGAGATTCCTTGCCTCCACTTGCGACCACTAGGCAAACGAGGCAGTCTTTTAATTTTAATGATGCTACTTATATGAAATACGATATGTCCCTTAGGTGCATCAGGGACGGAGTTAGTCAAAGTGTAATTTAAGCTTTCCATTATCAAACTCTCAACTCAATTGAAACATATAGTGTCTGTTTTTGTTTCGACACATAACAATATGTAACATCCTTTACTAAACGGGGTTAAGAACACAAATTACCGAAAAGTACGTCATTATGGATTCTGCTTAGTCTTATAATAGCAGAGAGTAGTATTACGATATGGAAATACAATGATAACAATTATCTTCGTGTACGAATGGCTTTACTTTACAAATGGAACTTTACATAGACAAGATGGGTCCCTCCCATCGTATTTATTATGCAGTAAGGAGTTTGTTTACAGAACTGATTCTAAGAACCAGTTTGGTAAGGAAAGCTATTGATTTTCCGACTTCTGATTGTTTTAACATCTATCTCAGCACTTAGTAATAATAGAATAGTTTAGTTGTTCTCAAAAGTTTTCAAATAGTTTAATTGCTTAGTATTGATTTTCTGTATCAAGTAGGTATTCCGTGTACAATACAGGTAGTGATAGGTAGGTACTCGTATACTGTGTCATCGAAAGGGGTAGGCAGAGAAGTAAACACACCACAGGAGTGTATTAGAGAGTGAGCCAGCCACACACATTAGGTGACTCAGACTCAGACTCAGTGCTACCACGGATTGGGTTCCGAAAAACTTCTTTATGTTATTTTATCCAACTCCTAACTTTTGGATTTAGGTACTGAACCTAGTTATATTACATTAAAAATTGAAAGTGAAGACTTATAGGGACAGCTTAAGAACCATTTAAGATTGTAAAGGGAATCATTATTCAACATAAAGTGGGCGCTGAGGCGAGAACTAAAGCCATGATGTTATTAAAGCTGTTTCCTTCAGAATAATTACAATTTCGAGTACAATAAGAACATTTATTTAATTTTTCTATTTTTCGGGAAATGTACGCAAAGGAATTCAAATAAAATGCGGACGTTCAAAGCACATATGTTCGTAGTTGGAATATAGCATAAACCCAAAGACGTGGGTCGGCTTAGGTATTCCTATTTTATTATTCGGAGAAGGATATGGGTTAAACAGGCGTTCCCAAAAACAAGTGAAGTGAATCAAAACACATTTTGTCTTACATTTTTCATACGTACACAAAATGTGAACGGTGACATTTGCCTGAAGTCGGTAGTGTCCCTCGTTAAGCCGTTTATTTACTTCTAATTTTATAACAAAGTCAACCGTTTTTCATTAAAAAACATGTAACCTACTTTACCGAGCCTTGATATTCAAATTTATGGGACGGCGGCTTGTATAATTTCTGACACGACCTTTTGCTGATGAACATAGGTACTGCGTAGATAGGTGAAAATGAGCTACGCTATCAATATTTCGTATCGCAAAAGACATCGACAAAATGGCCATCATTTTGTCAGACGGGTACATATCCACCTACACTTGAAGAATGTAATATTAAGGCGTCGCGTCGCCGTGTTTATAAGTAGGTACACAACTAAAGCTATAAATACGAAGAAATTACGCGTAGTCACGTTTTTCCTACTTACAGCGCTTTTAGTGTACTTCTCAAGGCTTCGCAGGGCGTTTTCGAAGTAGTCTTCACCGTATGCGCCTTTTTGTTCATCGCTGAGTCTCTTCCACATGTCGCGCGCTTGTTCCAGAAGTTTCTCCTCGGATAGCCAGGCACTGCCCGTTGTGTACTCTCCAGCTGCCACCACCACCTGCCAATAAACTCAGTATGTGTACAAAATCCAAGTGGCACGCATAAATATCCAATCTATCTTACTGAAGAGTTATTATTAGACCGTACGTGTAGGTGACTAGTGCGATGATGTATGTGGGACTAACTAGCCGTGTTAGAGGAAGTTCTTGCCGCTTATCAAAACTTTTCTTTTCGGATCCATTAGGTTGATGCTAAAGTTGTTCGTAGACTCTTAAGTTCAGATAAACAGACATTACGTTATGTAGGTACTAAACACGTGTTAAATCGAACTTTACTTACTGCCTTCGCATTTCATATAACTTTTAATTGTGCCTACGTTAGTATGATATACAGATTCGCAGACATCTCTCATAAAAAATGTGATCTAACATTTTTTGCTCGAATTAGTTTCGGTGTTTCATCTCAGGACAGTCATTTATGAAAAGTCGACCTCATCTCGCTCTAAAATATGGCGTAAAAGTGCTAGTTGGTAGTCTGTTTACTGAATAAATATCATTTATCATTTAAGAAATTCAACGTCGCTGTGAGATTACTAAGCAAGTTTTTTTGAAGTCCAATTAAAATTTCATTAGGAAGAAAAGCAATTGTTCCTAAGTTTGGAACTGTAAATAAAATATTGTTCTATCAGAATAATCGCGATAGGTGGTACTCGAAACAGAGAGAACAGGTATATGATTGTGTTCCGCGGGTTACAAATATAGGTATGAATTTCACAAAGTGTGAGTGACGGTATCAGTCGCAGTATAATTAATTTTAACGGTTTGTTTTACTGTGTATATTCGTACATTTGTATATTTGTACGTATGTAGATCGGACACGCGTCGAGTTTTAATTGTTACCACATTGGCATTCGATCAATATTGGATCGTTTATACATATGATGTGATGGACATTCTGTATAAATATCTGACGGGAATACACCATACGTTAGATGCACGAGTTACGTAATATCAAGGCAAATCTCGAACTATAATTTGCGTCATACGCGCACTGATTTTGACCCAAGTTTTGATTAACATAACAATAACAACTATTCGTATAGAAAGAAGCACATTGTCTAAAGTTTATTGACCACGCAGTTTCCTAAAAATGAAAACATAAATAAGTTTATGCTGTTATAAACTTTAACGGATATTTGTTCCTGAATGCCGGCGGTAAATCAATTATTAATTTTCCGAACATTAATTAACGCCATATTTCGTTTTCTCTTGACGGAGAGAGAGTGGGTGTCTGCGGTAATTGATTCTCATTTTATTCACATTAAGTACGACCTTGTAGTATATTATCATAATAAAGACTTCATAACGGGAGAACGTCTGAGTGAAAAATTTCGTTTGAGATAAAAAGCCTTTTTGAAACTTGTAATGCATAAAATGTATTTATTATGCTAAAATTAAAAGTCTAAGCTACGTCACAGTGTTGCTATGTTTTAGTACATCTTTTGCATATTTTCAGAGGTGAATCAGTAATACTGGAAATAAAAATATTGCACTTGACGTCAACAGCTAGTTTATTTGGTGCGTCAAAGACTTGAGTTTTTATTTAGGTGTAGTGTATTAGTAGAAGAACTAACAGTTGCCAAAATAAAATAAATACGTGCGAAAGAAACTATTTAGTGATGCTTATTTTATCCTCATTATAATGTTCTAGCCGATTAATTATAGTAAACGTTTCCCCGTTTCTCGCTGTAATTTAAGGTACGTAATTATAAATAGATATTTATAATGTAACTGGTTTACAGCCATTAACTTATGATTATATAAACGAAAGAATGCTGATAGTTCAAGGTTCATTTAATTTTTTACGACTCGTTTCAATTTTTCATTAGCGCAATTACTGCGAGTGAATGGATGGATAAATGAATACTGATTACAGGGTTATGCACGGGTTACAGAGCCCCGGCCGGAAGAGTTAACGGGTTACTGGGACTTCATCTCACAGCAAAAGTAGAAACGGGGAGTTTCTAGTCAATAAGAGTATGACTATTTCTCTCGCCTCACCCAAACGGGAGAAGTTATTGGATGATTTTCCTTCCTCAAAAAAAGGCGTTATGCTAGGATACTTCTGCATGCTGTGTTTTCTTGAAGTACATTCCCCAATTCCCTGTAAAACCTCCGCGATGAGAATCAGGCATTTTTAGAAAAGCACTTATTGCTATGAATGTACGCCTCTAACCATTATACCAAAAATAGATGAAACATAATATGTACCAATTCAAATTAATGTTAATTAAGTATCCATTAATACAACACTAATTGTGGTTTAGGCCTCAGATTACATTATGATCGTATAGGATACAGGTTAACGATGTTACCCTGAATAATATAGAGCAGTTTGATAATGCTATACAGTAGAGGTAACGAGCTAAGCTAATTTAAGTGCTGTACGAACTAATCTAAAATTATACCACCTCGTTTGTGATAGTGAGGCGAGACAGATGAAATATTAAAGCGCCTTGTTATACCCCAGTTCTAACCCCTTGACATCTATTCTAGGAATACAAATTATTTTGTTATGTCACAGAATTAGGTAACATTTATTACTGTCTATGATGAAGGAAAGATTTAGGCTGTTTGTTTGTTGGAAGAAAAGTAGTTCAAAAGTGCTATTTAATTGGAGTATCATGGTAGTATAACCAGATTGTCTCTCTGTAGACACTATGGTAGCGCACTGGTTTAGCAACTGTTGTGTCACAATATAATTGGGAATTATTGAACATGAATCAGTGATTATTATACTTTTCTTCTAGATGTAAATTACGCAAATAACACATTCAAAACAGTTGAACAGATTATTAATATAGTTTTCCACAGAGAGTAATTAGAACAATTTTTCGACGATGTCGCGGCTACAGCTTGTTTTCCTATAACAAATGTGCCTACATTTGTCGCTTACTCAATGTCCTATATTGTGACCTAATTTTTGAGTTTTTAATCTGTATCATCAACTGTATTCTCGTAGGAATCCTTTCCATTTGTGGGATTAAAAATGTTCTAAGTCCAAATCCAGGTCATGGTCCACAGGTGAACCAAATTACATTGGAATCCCTCACGTAGTTAAGGTATGCCGTACGTAACGTCTACTTCATTAGTAGGTATTATATGACTATTGTATCTACATATATACTAATGGCAGCTGTAGAATTTCATTGCTTGATATAATTGAATGATCTTTGGTAGTTACTGGTTTGATTTAAACATTTCTTCATCTTGTAACTTTTAAGTGTAAGTTAAGGTTATAGTATGCTCATTAAAATAGAAGAACAAGAACTGATCCAGAAACAATAAGAATATCTAAAGATTTTTACTCTCGAAAATATTGTTATCCAACCTAAAAAGAGTAAAATGTGGGAAGACAATAGACATCCGCCCACCTCCAATAAACTGAATGTTCATTTACAAAAACATAATTAATGTGATGCCAAAAGATACTAAGACACTGATTGATCGGTGTCCGAACAAAATAGCGGTAACTATACAAAGAATCGTTTCTTAGGCGACATTTTTTAAATGGGATAGCTTTGTTATCCCGGTGATTAATCAAAATCTTTCTAAGAAAATAGTTTTATTCCCACCGCCGCGCCGCTGGGATTTGCTCACAATCCTAGTTTTCCTCAAGTAACTAACTACCTAGCTAACTCAGCGGCCATTAGTTCGTGGCACTGTTATTAAAGTATTAACAATGTTGTAGTTTCGTCGTCGACGGTTTACTTGATTAGAGACTGGGCGACAAGTGACAGTTTGAAATAAGCTTTGCTGTGGTAGACTTTGTTACTGTGTCTATATTTTGATGTAGGTACCTTGTTTGAGGTGGATTTCTACGTATATATAAATCATTGCTCATTAGAGTTTTTATTTCGACGTATATACAAAATAATATAAATTAGATAGACACTATTGGATTGATTGAAGCCATATGGCTTTTTGAATGAACGAAATGGTACTGGAAAGAAAATTTCTTGGGGTTTTATTGGAGTTTTTGTGTGCGAATGAATAACCTATGACGTAAGATTCTACGGATCGTTGCTGACTGCGCTCTGTGGTTTCTGGCGAGCCTCAGGGGACTAAAAAGGTGAGTCTAGCTATGTCTAAATATGTATAATGTAACTTTAATTGGGTTTACTGAGCAACTTAGAACGATGTATCTCCTGTGAGTGCTAAGACAATTTGCACCCTTTGAACTAGCAGATAGTGTCCATTTATCTATGCGAGCATTCTATTTTCCGAGTAGATACTCTGATCATTGTGATACCCCGGATAAGTTTTAAAAGGGTTTATTTATAGAAGACGCAGTATCGTACGCAGAATAAAGCACTTAGGCAGCTTAGGCTCTTATTGAAATAGTGCTCTTTAATGCATAGGAAAACGCCCACACAGAATTTTACACATAGGACTATATTAGGGATTTTTCCTTCCTCTATAAAACTTTTTATGCTATTTAATTACATGTAGAATTTTTTAGACGTTCTGTGGTCATATGTCCATTTCAAACATAGAGGTAGAATGCACATCATACCCATACCTATATACATACTTATCCTTATCCTTACTTCCTTACTATGACAGTGTGATAAAACAAACTGTTTATAATATTAGTCCTTACTTACTAATATTATAAATCGGAAAGTGAGTTTGTTTGTTTGTTCCGCTTTTTCGCCGTAACTATTAAACCGATTGCTCTGAATTTTTGCAGATGTACAGTTAGAAGTCTGGATTAAATAATAGGGTACTTTTTATCCCGGAAAAATTGATATTCTCGAGGGAAAAGGAAATTATTGGTATAGATGGCGTGTGTATTGGTATATGTCATATAAGTTACTTTTTATCATTTTGTGACGCGAGCGAAGCCGCGGGTAAAAGCTAGTAGTAAATATTTGCCAACCATAACCATGTAATCAAAATGTTTTAAATAAGATCATTGTTGTTGCAGTAAGTACGAGAGTTTTATTAAGCATTCTTAAATTCAAATAAAATTCAGCTTACGTTCAAAAATAGATTACGTGTTGAAACCTTGAGCCAATGCAAATATACGAATGCGCAGACGAGGACTAATTTTTTATACTCCCTTTCTAATTTAAAGGACGTCTACAAAGAAAGGTTCTAAGTAAAAACTGTATAAGGAATACGTAATCTGCGAAGGTTTTCAAAATATGATTACTTTTTCATTTAACTTTAGGGACGTAATTAATTTACGTCAAGCCTAGTTAAAAGCCTTGAATACCTGACAACGGGTTTCACAAAGAATGTGGTTGAACCCTTAGCGGGTTGTCGAGGGCAGTTTACGTAAAATACTAACTTTTAGCCAAATCTGGTTAAGACTTTGTGACCATAAAGTATGTGAACACAGAATTTAATTTGAATTAAATTACATACTATTGAGACGTCAAAGTGGTATCCATTAGAGAATGAAACCTTCTTGTCTCAATTCCTAGAATCATAAGAATAAGCACTGAGTAATAAATTCCATTACTCTTTAAAAAAATGTAAATCTAGTTATGAAAAGGTCAGGATTAAGATTAGAGGCATAATTAAAAGACTTACGCAATCAACGCCTCGTGGTTTGAGTTCACGACGGAGGCAGGCTGCTAGAGCATCCAGGGCAGCAAGCGAGGCAGCATGGACACCGCGCACTGGAGCGGCCACGTGGGTGAGGATCGAAGAGGCCAGCACCACGCGGCCCCGTGCACGCCTTACTAGAGGAAGCATCACCTGCACCAGCCGAGCTGGACCTGTGTATCAAAACCTTTCTATAAGGTTTTAAGCTGACATGGTTAATGGTTATTAACACTATCTGATGAAACTTATAATCTCTAAAATTCCGAATACTCTGAACCAAAGAAAACATGGTAAGTTTTAATGTAGGTAATTTTTTTTTTATGGAATAACCCGGCAAACCGACGTGCGGATCACCTGATGGTAAGCAATCGGCGCCGCCCATGAACACGCGAAACACCAGAAGTGTTACAAGTGCGTTACCGGATAACATAATCCTTTTTGGGGATTATGAATTTGAAGATTATTGGGGATTCGGGGAATGCGGAGGTTGGGGAGGGGGGTAATTGGGCCTCCGGTGACCTCACTCACCCGACGAAATACAACGCAAGCGTTGTTTCCCGTCGGTTTTCTGTAAGGCTGTGGTATCGCTCCGGTCGAGCCGGCCCATTCGTGCCGAAGCATGGCTCTCCCACACTTAACCATATTTATGTAATGTAATCAATCAAAACTAATTTTCCATATTTATAACCCACATAAAGCATTTTATTAAGTCTTCTTATATGTACAGAAATCGGTTCACACTCGTCCGCTGGTTTGAGGTATAAAGTACCATTCTAAGTTTATTCTAAAGAACTTGAATATAACCGGTTTTTACAAATATTTTATCTCATAAATTCATATTTCGGATGGCTGAACTCACTACTTTTACAATCACACTGTCATATAGAAGACAGTTTGGATTTCACAATCAATATACCGTCCGTCTGGATACATTTAAGTTTAACCCAATTTACTAAAAATATTACAAAGTCGTTATGGCCGAGGATGCTGATGAAAAGGCAATCAAATCAAATGGGGCTTTGGACTGCCTCCATAAATTTTCTATTCATGTTTAAGTGTTTTTATACGTAATGGACATGGTTGTATATATACGTAATATTGAATTGGTCAATCAATTGTAAAATCACGTATTTTTTGCAGCTTTTATAATTCAATAATAGTGTTCGGTAGCAATAATTGACATACTGTTATGAATTGATTAGATTTCTTGAAAATTTCTTGTAATAAGCTTTGGAGAGCCATGCTTCGCCACGAATGGGCCGGCTAGACCGGAGTGATACCACGGCCTCACAGAAAACAAACGTGAAGCAACGCTTGTGTTGTGTTTCGTCGTGTGAGTGAGGTTACCGGAGGGCCAAGTACCCCTTCCCCAGTCTCCCAATCCCCGAATCCCCCACAATCCTCGAATTCCTAATTTCCAAAAGGCCGGTAACGCACTTGTAACGCCTTTGGTTTTTCGGGGGTCCATGGGCGACGCCGATTGCTTACCATCAGGTGATCCGTCGGCCCGTTTACCGGCTTATCCTATAAAAAAAAAGTAGTATCTAGTTAGCATCTGTGCTTATTTACCAAAAATAAATATAATGTAAGAAGTCGTTGTAATGCATGACTACACATAAACGACAGTTTGAAACCCGAAGAAAGCTAGTATCTTGCTAATTAGCTCACCGCTGAAAATAAATTCTTAGACTTAATTAACTGTGAGGGAACGTGCAATTTTTTGCTACTGAAAATTAAATCTTCATTTTTTCCTCTCTCCGATATTAAGTTTTCCATTATGATGTTAATATTCTTTTTGAATTATGGCAGCTAGTCAAAGGCCAAATTGGTTTGCTAATAAAGTGTTTTACGGATCATATTTGATAAGGAGAATTACTTTAAAAATAATAAAAAGTATGTTAAGGAAAATGTAAAGGGAAAATGTAAAAATCTCTAGACTTGTTTAATAATTCATTTGATTTGTAGTTCTGTAGGTATATTATAATATTTTTGATGTATCTTAGTATCAAATTATGTCCGAAATAGTTATTTATACTAACAACACCTTTACAAATAGATATTGTGTGTAGACCAAGTTTGCCTTTGGCCAAACCAACAACTAGTGACATCTAGTGACATTTTCACGAAACATTACGTCTACGGTCACTCACCAAGCAAGTTGACATCCATCGCACGTTTGATGACGGAGAAAGGCACCCATTCTAGTTCACCCAGCGCACACCACGATTCGCAGTTGACGATGGCCCACAGCCCCTGAGCGCCCTCTGGTAGATGGTCCACGATGTACAGAGACGCCGAGAGAATCTAACGCAAAACAGCTTCAAGTTACTCAAAATGTTTTCAGAACTTGCCACCAGATTTCGTTTGCATCTACAAATAACTCGACAAAATAAGACACGTCAAAATACGATTTATACAAATCGCATTTCGGAAAATTCTAGATTTTTGGCGTGACAAATTATTGTCTGACAATTTTAGGATTGCATATTAGTTTGAAATGTTATTCGTATTTTGTCATAATTAACTTGTCATAGTCCGTTGGTTTCAGACTATCTTTCTCAGTTCTATTAATCATTTTCCAAGAAAAATGGAACTCGAATCTTGTATACGTCTATTTACTGCAACTGTGACTATTTCAAATTGGTTTTTTGTTCAATCTTTGCAAAAATGGCATTAGAGGCATTTATATTTTCTACCTTTGTACAAAAATTGGTAAAGGGTAATCTTATTTAAATGAAAAATGACGTTAAGTTGTATTTGCTGTCGTAAATGCAAAAATACAATTTCGAAATGAAAGTAATGTGATACGGAATGTGCTTAGCTACATCTTTATTTGTGGTTGAAGACCTTAGAATTGTTTATTTTTAATGCGTTTTCAATGATTAGATACTTTTTGATATTACGAGCACACGAAAAAGTAGTTCAATGAATTCATGCAGAGCAGAAAAATATTTAGGATCGTTACTAACAACTACCGTATCCTAACAATCGTAGCTTGACACAAACAAAAATAAGCATCATCACATAGACACAAACAAATTCGTCTGATAACAAATTGCAAGTTTGTTTCACTTCAGAATTCGGGCAATTAATATTATCAAAAGTTGGGAACATTACTCGAACCGTAAATATATTTTGAACTCGTGCGTTATGAGGCGTCGACGAAGCGAAAGATACAATGGGAAGAAAAAGGGATTTTTTAACGAATATGTACCATGTTATTTCACATTGTTTTTAATGTTGTACTACGTGGGCGGTCGCTCTAACCTCGTGATTGTAACATTTTCTTTTTCGTTGCCAACCTGAATTAATTTAGAGTCGAGTACATCCCTAAATTGGGGTTTGCTAGGAGCGGTACACGTACAAAATTAATTTACAAAGACTTTAGCTATGTACTTGTACCTATACCTACAAGCGGCTTAGACTATGAGGCCAAAATGGTTATTATATAACGTTGCTTCAGCGTTGTACTCCAGGTATTATTAATTATACTTATTTACATACAAACGGATCTAAGGATTAAACAACAACTCTAAAAATAAAGTTACCCTAATTAATCGTCTTGAATGAAACTTGTTATATTTGCGTCTTTATATTTAGTTGAATGTTCAGTTCGTTAAAGCAATCTTGAGGAATAATGATGACGAATTGATTTAGGTTTCTAGATAGGCAATCACCTGAGTTTCTGACGTAATGTCAAGTTGGAGTGTATGCAATCTTCCAGAACAGTCTTCTTTGAGCATGTCGGCGTCTATGTTGCCGGCTTTACTTTGGAATCCAGCGAAGACATGATAGCCGAGGTCATCCAGACGTCTTGCGAGAGCATTTCCCAGCACGTTATCACAGCCCGTCACCAACACAGCTTTTCCAGCTGCGGTTACCTGAACAACAAAAACCGTTCTTAAATTAACACGTCATGTATCAAATTAGTTTTAAACACTTCAGTCGTTTGGAACTGAAACAGTAAAAAATATGAAGTCACGAATAAGTAAAACTCGACTTGCGTTTACATCGAAACTAGTGTTATCAGAACCCATGAACCCTTTCAATCATGCTAGTATTGTTTCCATGCCTGAAATAATTATATCTCATTAGGGTACGAACGTTTTGCTACATCAGATATAATGGGCGGGCGACGAAATTAAGTTTTCGTCGAAAATAGATGACGACAGCTTGATTGATGTCCGTTATAATAACAGCTGAGTGAATATTTTATTCAAGCATTTGTACGTACCTATGCGTGACGCAGTGACGTCCGAGGTTAACTATTTCAGGGTTGCCTGATCGTTAATTCTTAATCTTGTAGTCCTCTCAATGTTCAAAGTCACGCACCAGTCACATATTGTGTTTGCATACATTTGGTGATTAATGTTCGTATTCGTTTTATAGTTTTCTTTCTCATTCACCTAATATAAAGCGCATTTTAATGAATAGGGCTGGGCGCTGCTTTAGAAAGGGTAATATATGATTCACACCTCAATAGGTTCATTTGAAACCTGAATATTTCATATCCTACTCATAGATTCTTTGAAAAATATTAAAGCAGCAATTTATCATTCAACAAAAAGATGTTATGATACCTAAATAAAAATACGTTAACAGTTGTTTACAGATTATAACTCTCAAGCAATAAATAACATTAATATAAAAATACCAGATATTGTTTTAGAGGCGAGACTGTTTTCTTTCATTCATACTATTTCATACCTAGTTTATAAAACCGAAAGTTCAAATGTAGATTCTCATAAAAATATTTGGAGTTAGTAAGAAAACACCATGAATATTTTATTTAGTAGTGTCTATTCAGTAAAAACACGACCATTAACCTATTTTAAATCGGACTTTCGAATGGATTGATGACGCAAGTACGCAGGCTGGCACAATGGTACAATTGTTGCAATCTCCTTGCCCATTTGTAATGCGACACATTCACACTGACATTTTAGGGGTATATACACATTGCATTGTATATACATATTGCACAATATCTCCGAATATTTATTTCAGAAGGTGAAGAAGCGTTTTTATAGCGCACATAAGCTTTTCATGTTTTCAACAACTGACTCGAGATTTTTCTGTGCCGATAATTTGTATTCTAAGCATTTTGTGTATTGAATTCAATTACCTAATTACATTATGTTCAGTTAAGTTACAAGAGTAACACCACAAATCACATTTCAAAGTATTTACTAAATCTTCTATTTGTTGGATTTGTACGGTGGGTTTGTAATAATACTCAGCCGCAGCGGGTTACAGAGACTAGGCCACAAATCAAAATTATCTAACTAGTTTGCATGCAATCTCGTTACAAATTCCATGAAATCCAAGCATTAGTTTTTCTGTTACCGTACCGTCCAGTTATGGATAGATGTGCAGTGAGATGTTCTATCCATTTCTATATTAAGTGATTCATTTACTTTTCTGAATTTTTGTTCTAAACTTTAGAGATATATTATTTTTATCGTCTTATTATGTAATACGTAAGTATCAGTTCTAACTATTATGTATTACCTATTTAGTTCTGATAGGGTAGTACATCTGATAGCTGAGAGATGTACTGATTTATTTATAGTCTAACTACTATCCGCTAATTAATTATCTTATCTGATATTATCTGTTTGAGACCAATTGCAATAAGAAGCAAACCTGTCAAACACCAGCCGTAATTGAGACTCCTTGCTATTGTTAGGAATTTCTAAAATCGGATAATCCAATAATACGTACGTTGGTCTAACTTGCTTCGTGAATATTTCAATAATTATTTTAATAATACTAACAGGTAATTGAAATATTCGACTATACAAACATAAAGTCTTTCGCTTAGGTTATTACTAGAGAAATTGAGTTATTGTGTCCTTCCCTCGGGAGGCTGCGACCCGATTCTATGTGCTCTGCTGTTACCGACGACTCAGGTAATCTTCAAAATGTTTATTCGTAAAAAACGAAGCAAAGGCGTATTATCAAGAGGGTTACATACCAGATTATTTCCCACATTATATGGATTTGTGGAAGATTTGTCTAGTATTATGGACTCGTTATACGAGCTGTTATTACATTACTTTGTGATCCTTAAAATTCCGAAATTCTGCAACTAATCCACAGACTGTGTGACCTTCTTCGCAAGAAAGAAAATTTGGTAGAAAATCAGGTTTAACGTAAAAATTAGTTTAACAAAAAATTGTTTCACTATACACAACCCGTCCTACGTAATTCTCAATTCCAGATTAGTAATATTAGCTGAAGTACCTACTAACTTTTCACCAACTTTATTATTGTATCAATCTCAATATCTTATTGTAACAAATGGATAACTCATTGGTGAATACCGTGAACAATTCAATATTTCACGGTATTGTGAATAATTTTGACAAGACCATAAATATTTCAATTCATAGAAAAAAAATGTAAGTATTAGTGCAAAAGTGTATTTGTTTTTTTTACATTGCAACTTGAAATTAGTTTGGGAGCTTGTGCTTGAGCTATGTTTTCGTTTAAACTGATGAAGTCGCGGATGGAAAGCAGTACTCATACAATATCGATTTGAATATTATCTAGTATAACAGATTCTCTAGTCCAACAACATTTATGCGAGAAACAGATATCTAAGTACAAAGGATCGGTGAACGAGACAAACATTGATCCACAACGCTTTCTAATCTTGCCGCAACTAGACTGAATATTCCTCTGACTACTGGCTTTTCAGCATAAAATAAATGTAATCAATGCGAACCTCAGATGAATATTTAATAAAGTTCAAATCACTTTGACATTCGTATTTATTACGGAACGGGGTAGGTCCAATACTATAACTAAATTTGATTTCAGTTCAGTCGTCATAGGCGTGTCTGTAGAGCAATTAGCATGATCATTTAACTAGAGTGGTTCAATTAGAATCCTTAGTGAACTATTAAAGTAATTCTGAATTAGTATTTGTTTGTATTTCAGAAAATATTAGAAAAAAGAATAAATTTAAAATCATACTGGATGTTTGTCCGTTAATCACTTTAAAACTACTTAACGAATTTTAATGAAATTTGGTATACAAGCAGGGTATGACGTGATTTGGGTGATAGGATTTTTTATCCCAATTAAATGCCCCCATGAGATAAAACAGGAATTCACGGTATCCCGATTAAATAAGATAAAACAGGAATTCGCGGGCAAAGCCGCGGGTGAAAGCTAGTTACTTATATTTTAAAGAATTGGGTTGTCGCTGAAGGCATTTGGCGACCAGCTGTTATGCAATGTGTACCAGGATCTGGTTCAATTCTCATTCGAAAAACTCTTTGTGAAAATATTTATAAAGGAGCCCAAGACCAGGACTTTTAGTGCGGGACATATTATACCCAAATAAATAGAGTTTATAGAGTTATGGTAACTACTTAAGCGGTGTAGTTTCTCATAATAATAATTGCCTGCTTTTCAGACCCATTCGATAACAGAAAACTAGTAATCAGTAGATGTACTCTTGAGGGGAAAACGTGAATCTTAATTACTTTATGAGTTTAATTACCTATTATTTCTTTAGAAATTCCATTATACCTAATCTAAATTATTGTAGTTTCAGCCTACTTATCCGTGAATAGAGACGCAGAAAATTTCAAACGTACTTAACGATCGCAGGTAAGAGTTCCTTCACCCCGTTTCTGAAATATTCAGTTTGGGACAATGTCTCTTTTGTTTCCAGAATATTATTCTTGTGGTACCTGGGCGACAAAGACCTCGAAAAAAAATCTTTTAGATCATAGTAATAAGTTTGATTTTTCTTTACAGTAAAATGTTATTAATTTCGAAAAGATATGACCCACAATTGCCTAGTTTTTTGCCCTTGTTAAACAATTACAATTGTCATTGAAATCGTTAAGGTCTAAAACATAGAGAATAAGATTACAAATGTACGTATATTACATAGGTGCAAATTATGCTGAGTGTAAGGGGATTGATAGAAAGTATTCAGTTCCTTATTTTGAATCATTTAGTAGCTAAGCTAGTAAATTTTCTTAAAAAATTAAGTATTTATTACTTATCTATATGGTCATATATTTGATGCAGTTCCAAACATATCACATGTATAAAGTAGGTTTGGATGAGTGGCAACCGATTTTATGACCTATTATTACTAACGGAGAGTGCACGATACGTGTGTCTAGCCCCTGTCAGAATATCGGTGACGCACGAGTTGTTGAGCCACCTCGCTATCTGTTACCAGTTGAAGTAGTTTCGGTATCCAATTCTTTTTCAGCAGACAATAAAAATGAGTGTTTAAATAAGATTTTTCGGATATTTGATAACTAGCATAGTATCACTGCTCATTTTGTGACATGGGCAAGCCTGTTGTAAAGCGGAACTTTCCTCAATTCTACCAGAACCTAATTTTCATATTTCGTAGTGCGATAATCGAAAAACTAAATAATAAGTGAACTAACTAAGTATTAAATACACCCTTGTTTTCTATACATGGTGGTCAAGCCACCAGGAAAATACCATTAAGGAAAATCCATTACATTATGAATTTAAAATTACTTGGAATCGAGCTGAATCGGCATCAACATTCCATTCACGTTTTCTGTTTGAAATGTGTATAGATGTAATACTCTGCAGATTTCTGTTTCATATTTTAAGATGCGTCTCAGAAAACGCTACCCATGAATTATTCATTAATTATCCGGAGTGACTAAATGTCTTAATTAATAACGGCTAGATAACTTTCGCGGCAATTTAAATGTTTCAAAAACTTGTTTGAATTAACATTATAACAATCTTAAATGAAATATTGTATCAAAGTAAGTTTCATCTTGAAGACATGTCCGTCCTTGGCCAAAACTATTTAAAGAATATTAATAAGTAATTCGTGTTTGTTTAACTAAAATATTGGTTTCATAAAAACCTAATAAATCACTGTGTCTGTTTATATCACTGTCTTGAAAACCTTATGAATGTCTTTTGCTCATATATTAAAATAGATTTCATATGATCATACCAATCTTCTTGGGATTGCACTGTTTGAATAAACCTTAAACTTGTCCGTGGCCCGTACTACGTCTAGTACAAATCGCTATAGCACTTTAGATTACGGCCGCCAATAAATCAAATGATATACGGCTTTCCATTTTAAATGCAATTTCTATTCCTGTGTGGTCAAGTGGTTTAATGTTTGGCACCAGTTCATAACAAATACAGAGGTGCCAATGATTTAACGCAGTACCTGCGACTAGTTTAGGTAACAGTCAACAGAACTAAATTCATTTCGTATACTATTGATAGAAATAGTTTGCTAGAATTCCTGAATGTTACCGAGCTGCTGGAGTTTAGAATAAGAGAATATGTTACAGCCAGATCTCGAAACATTATAATATGGCATCAGCCCCCAAGGTTGTTCAAATAGCACTCAACGAGATTGTTTATGGCATTGATCACTATATACATTTTGCTCCACAAATAGACCTTATTTATAGATCAATTTGTTTACTTAACAAGTACAAATACAGCTCAATCAGGTTTTATTTCGTATTTAAACAAAGCTCGCAATAATTATATTTATCATTAACAAATACCCTGTAGTGCAAATTAAATTGTGGAAATTGAAATTGTTGCATGTGGGAGGCTGAGAGCTTTGCTATGAATATTCATTAATTTAAATGAGGTTGTATAGGTGCTACAGCTGTTTCCTTATACAATCTATTGTTACGGTTCCTTCATACAAGAATTTTCAACTCCAAACTTGATCTTCTTTGTGTCGACTTGAACAATTTTCACATAGAAACAGCAGCTCATGAATAGATACTCATGTATACTCTAAACTTGGTAGAGAAGGTGGTTGGGGCTGACGTTTCCAAGCATAATTTATGACGCAATTTGAGGCTAAAATTAACGCGGCATTTCAGTTCTTGCTTTGCAAAAAATATGCTTACGTGCCACATCTTATATATCTCAGTGCAAAGTACGTACATCTTGACATTGAGTTGATTTTTACAAATATAGATTCAGATCTTATCAACGGAGGAGACGAAACACAGAATTGTGTTTATACAGTAAACGAAATAATAGCAAAGTTGGAGCTAATTTTCGTAGTAAGTAAAAAAATATATTTGTGAAAGTAAATGTTCTAGTAATAAACATTTATCTTAGTGTTATTTACGTAATAGTTAAAAAATAAACCGGGAGAGTAGTGGGCGGCGACTGATTGGCATATCGTAACGTGTTGACTAACGACAGCCACAAGTTTACGTGTTTCTAATGTATTTATTTATACTTTATGGCTACCGTAAAACTGCGAACTATTCACCGTTTTCCTCAAAGTAATTGCAAGTTTCAGTAATAATGTGCTTATCAACGACGTTTAGGTTGTTACTTACGGCTGAATTTATTTACAGATATTGAATCTTATTATGATAATTTTTAATCCAAACTCTTGAAGTACCTACACAAATACATCTGAGTAACTTTGTGTAAAATGAGCAGCCGATGAGCACAAAACTTACAGGCGCTGATTAGATTTGTGGAAACATGACTGCTTTGAATTTTATGAGTTTGAGAATAAAAAAATCAACTTGGCAACTTTGGTGGAAGTTTTGTTGGAAATTATGCTTTAATTGCTTGTACTTTGAGAAAAGTTTGGGAGACTTCAATTGCGCGGAGATTGCTTAGTGAAGTGAGTAAGTAATTTTACCTGAAGATTATGGTAGAACCAGAGAGATCCGGTGACGGAGATTGAGAACCAGAGGAAGAGTGTGAACACTGACACGGAGCTAAGGTGCATGGCGTTGAGGACTGTCGATAGCACCACGGCCAAGGCATGGCACAGTACTATCGGTAGAGCGCACCGGTCGATGATGTCCCATGGCACCTCCTATGAAAAAAATAAAACATTTTAAAATAAAGAACTTTTATGATTATATTGAATTATAATTCTAATTCCAGACTTAGTGTCTGCAGTGTGTCACCTTCGTTAGTTACATCATTTGTATTATGCAATGGGGGATTAGTCTATTGGTATACGCCACGCTTGAATTCGTTTCATGGCACATTTGAGAATTTTGGTTCCAAGAAACTCAGAATTACTCTATTCGTGAAAATAAGTTTCCATACTTGTATGACCTTGCATAAATAATTACTATGTGAATGTTCAGGCAAATAACTAGAAAATTTTGTATTTAACCTCTGACTAAAGTTGATAATCACTATAAAACCGCGACTATGTGAAGAGTGCTCTCAGTAAAAGATACAGACGTAAAACAATTTTGTTAACAATTCACCTACAATATTAAATTAGTTATCAGTGCCTGATATCTCGGGTTAAATTTCGAAGGACTTTACTTCATAAGTTTTCCCTAATAGTGGCGTGGGTGTGGATAATACCAACCCTATCAAACACCGTTCAAGTATGTAGCTACGAAAATGTTAGAATGTGTAAATCAACAAGTAAAGGTTTATATTTCACACAGTAGATGAGTGTGAAACTCAACGCCACTCGTACTTATTTCTGGATATAAAATATCTTAAACGTCCCGTAATTTCCCCATGAACTACAATTATGCGGAGTTATTAAAGTATAATGTTATGTTATTAAAATATTAGGTTTGAAATACCCTGTGCGTTATGCGATCTTTGAATTCATTAAGCAACGTTAATTAAATCGAATGTGAGATGAGATTTTCCATTCCTGAAATTGTGTAAGGTCTTTAATCCTGGAAGGAGTGAATTTGGGTTTTCCAACTCAATACCTCTTTCTGGGCAGTCGGACTTAACCACTCGGCCTATTCATATACTTCTTCATGTTTATTAGACTCGGCGCCCTTCACACATTTTCGCTTTATAAAACAGTTCTTTAATGACGCGCGGATCAAAGCGCCTCTTGCTATTAGATGTAGCAACTATTTAAAAATAAATAATGTATGATACTAATGACATTAATCATGACAGTCTATTCAAAAGTAGGACAAATGTTATTTAAGACACACAAAATTTAAGACAAACATATGTTTTCATCAGTTTAAATGTAGTTAGAAATAAAGAAAACGGGTTACTGTTATATGGCAGAATAGATGATAGACTAAGAGCCAGTAACGTAATGGAATGATATCATCCACTTATAAACCTTGTCTTCAACAACAAAGTGCTCGCTTCGACCTGTCAAATACTGTAACATCATAAAGGTGACTGATTGAGACGTAAAAATAGCTATTATGAGCTCTTACACTATAAACAATTCATCTACTTCAATGTGGCATGTTCAAAGACATTAGAGAGTATTTATTTATTGACGTTTAGTAGCCAATAACTTCTTAATAATGCGTGAAAAGTTTAAAATAATTTTAAGAATGCAACTGACGTCGGTCGGTCGACAGAGGATAAAGTACAATGATTATTATTTCTTCTGTTTACCCAAAGGTCGTTCAAGATAATCGCTTAAAGTGTTTGTGCAGTTTATTTTCGTAAAGAAAGCAATAAAGAGACAATTTTTGTTTTCGCAGTTGTCTCACAGATTGTTTATGATTCATCTTCTGTGCCGCAAATAGAACAAAATGAAAATTATCAACAACATTCGTTGATATTTTAGATTGGTTTTAAATTGGCAACTCAGGTTGATGGGCTTCCTGTGGCTCTGAATAATCCTTTTGATCGTGATCAGTAAGCACTTCATAATTCACTTCATTGTTATTTTGATTTATAATGTTTTGTAAGTAGGTTTAAACTAGGTTTTGATAAATTTTAACTACAGATAAAGTGCGGTGTTTGTCTTTTGTTTTATTTATTGGCAACATTAATTTTGAATGTGTTCTAAAGATCTCTTTAGCTATTAATGTAATAACAATGAATATAAATACAGATGATATCAATTTCTCGCCACTAATAGTATTCATAGATGCATTATCATTTTCGTTAAGGTGCCATTAGTATTGTTACTACGATATGAATCAGATTAGAGTGTCATTATATTTGTAACTACAAAGTGAACTGGTTGTCATTAACGCTTTTGATACGATATAGCTTTCTTTTACAAATGCTTAGGTACTAATATTATATTAAAAATGTGATAATGTCTTTCTGAAAGTGTGGTTGTTTGTACATATATCTTTCGGTTATATTGCCACATAGTCATTTTATAATGTTATTTTAGTGTCTAACAAGAGATAGATAAAAACTTGTAGAGTCATACAGGCTACCCTTTTCCTTGAATCACACGATTGAAGCCGCGGATTTTTTTTATTATTCTTAGTGACTTATAAAGCAAAATACGAAAATAACAACTATTTATAGGATTGTAAAATTATATTTTTATCTCAAATAGTAGGTGTTCCCTATCCATTATGCTTACATGACAGAAGAATTTGGGAAATGAGTTATGCTGGGTATAAATCGTCAAGCAAGGTCAGTCTGAGTGCTAAGGGACATGAGTTTACACTAACAGTCGAATAAGTCAAATAAATCAAATGAAACGGGAACATAAACCGCCCACACACGCGTAAATTTCTGTCTTCATAAAACCACACCATAAAAGTTTCAGCAAAGTTGACATTTTAAAACTATTTCGCTAAAAACATTCAAATTTTAATACTACCTAATATAAACGAAGGTAAAGCGTTGGTTTGTTTAATTTGATAATATCTCCCATAGGTATTACTGCTTGATAATAAAAACTACGTATTTTAATTCGTTGTTAGAACATGGTATATTAGTATTTAACTTTTTACCAAGTCCACAACGTTACACCCTGTCTTCTATTGACTTAAACAGAGACAATAAAAACCAAATTAGCATTTAATTCGTATACTATTTTATTCAAATTCATCAATGACCACTGACCAGTGTGTATTTTACATTTATTTATTTTTAAATATTGTCCCTATAGATTCACGTAGGTACACATTACTAAAGAATATAATACAAAACCGCAGGCTAAAACTATTATACGATAAAATATAAACGAAGGTATAATCAGAGAAAAGTCTTTGTTTCATTAATCCATCGTAACTTGACTTGATTACGTATTTAATTTGAGAGAAATTTTTAATGATATTCGAACAAAGACCTTCAAAAGAAATCCTTTTACTTAAAGTTTTATTATAATACTAGGTTTTGGCCCGCGGCTTTGGTTGTTACTGAGACGAAAATTATCTTGTTCGGTAATCCGGGTTAGGATTTATCTTTGGGCGTAACAAGTACCTAACCGAAAAATACTTTGATATTTGCCCATAACGAGTAATTCTGCAATATTATTATTAACGTATAATGATATTGTATGATTATATTTTGATTATAATAATATGATAGCAAAGTGAGGGAGAGTAAGTGAGCCTGGAAACATGCGCGTTCAATAGTTTTCTACAAACCCATGCAAACTTTTCCTCAAAGCATCAAATGAAGATATCGTTTGTGTTTGTCAGAACAATACACAATTTATACAGTTACTTTTAACCTTTTTCATTTATTTATTCATATCATGCTAACAATTTAACAGGAAAATTAGATTTTAATTAATTGTACGGAAAGAAACGCAAATTAACATTCGCGTCTCAACATACAATTAAAAAGCTTTTATTACCTGGCAATAGACATCATAAACCCGAGTTCATTCACTTATGCCATAAGCATAAACAATTAGACGAAATATTAATAACCTGTGCGTGATTTATAAAGTATTTATAACATATAACATTACCTGTGACGTAGACTGCGAGCCTTTGATGAGTGAGCCGCGTCTCGCTGAAGGCCGACGGTGCATCGACGGCGCCGTGATGGATGCACGCCGGGTTACGTCTCCCGCGACCATCGTACCAGCTCGCTGTTACGTCGCTGTGTTCATAACATAACACTTTACTAACTATACTGTCAACTTACTACTCATTATCTCCGTCTACCTACTTAGCGACTCATTTTAACAATGATAGTCTCACCTAAAAGCTTTAACCGTCGCGGGACGGGTTAAGAATTCGTTAATAATGTGTGATCAATGTGATCAATTAATGCGGGTAACCTGTAAGCAGCCCCGGTACGGCGTCGCAAATAGAAAGTGCAGCCGATGTAAATGTCGCGGATGTCGGTGGAGTGCGTTGCGGCCGGCGGCCGGGGACGGCACACGGGTTTATTTTTAAGCGAACGGTCACTGTGGCGACCTAAAACGTGCCTGTGCCAGATTTATATGATTTTTGATAGACATCGCGTGGGCGTGATCAATTTAAACTCTGATCGAAATGTGACTGTAATTCGCACGATTGTGACCGTTTGTTTACTGCGCCTACACCAAACTCTATATCGGAATCGGGAAGGGCTTCCTTTTATTTGCCATGAAATGGGATTGCTTTCAGTTCCGAGGTTCCCAATGTGTTGACGTGGAAAATATAATGTACTCGTTTTAATGTTTGCAGCTATTTTTCTAGTAGAGAGTATCTATTGATGTTGTCACTGTTTAATAATAATATTTTTCAGTTTATCAATCCGTAGATAGATCATAAATAACTTACTTATAAACGAAAAGTGTATTTTTATGTGTTCAAAAGAATTGCTTTGCCATAGACGTTGATCAAATTCAGTTTCTATATTCATTTTGAATAAGTTATTTATTTGTTTGAAAATATGCTTTTAACCACATTTTGTGATACTCTACTACTGTGAAATTTTTGAAAAGATTTTTTTATATATATGTAGGGGTTTTATAGCATTTAAATAGACTGTGTTTTCTCTAGACCATCTAGGTATACATACATCAAATGCTTTTGCCAAGCATACTAACAAGTTGTTTTATTAAACGTCTATGTCTTGAAAGTACTTGAAGAAAGTGGAATAAACATTTCTATGGGCACCTTTTCTGCTTTTATAAGAGTTTTATGAAAGGAAGTCAATACAAAGAGTATTCATAATTGTTTCAAGCCAGTTTCAAGACTTTTTTGTTGACGGTCGCAAGGCTTTGTTGTCACATTATTTGTTTCATTTCCAACAAATTGTATTGCCAACGCCAATGAAAAACCTGCCTACACTTTGTTGGCTGTAAGTATATTGTACAGTATAAAGACTAAGAATTTGGAAAAGCCAAATTTTTCCACTTCATTAAAAGGAAATTTTCTCTAAACTCATTTGAAGGAACCGTGTTATTATGTACATTTCTTAGCGTGTGTGATAATTAAGCGAATGATTTAGGATAAAGTGTATAATATTATACAAACAAACTGTTGTTATTAAGTGCATAAGGCACTGTCAAAGTATTAAAACTGACCAAATTTCGTTAATTTTCTGGAAATTTCATAACATGAGACACAAAACAAAATGTACTAATTTTTAGAAAGAAATAAAAAGATCGATCAACTATGTATACGGTTTACAGTTGGTTTCACAGAGACTTATTAGAGCACTAGATTGTCATATTCCTCAATTTACGTAAATGTCACTTTGAAATTAAAACACACACAAACCCTTACAGAAGAAATCAAAAACAAATATATTCACAATTATTAATTCAATATTTAAATATCACATACTTTTAATAGAAAAATTGTATTAAAGCTGAAGTGGTGTTACGGTTACGATGCGCGGGCGCATTCGTTTAGGCGGGCGCTAGGCGGGCGGCGCGTGGCGGGCGCGATCGCTCACTGTACACCGGCGAGCCGCCTGCGCAGCCGCATACACGCATGCGCCAAAATTAAACACATGCGCATTATTATTTATTACAACATTTTCGGCTAGATTGTAAAATCAGAAACCTACTCAATGCTCCAGCAGAGTGGAATGTTTTTTGGCAAAACATCGGAACATTAAATCTCCGCCACTCAGATATTTGTATTTCTAAAGGAGAAACTTTTACATACAAAAGAAAATGTGTGTACGTACACAAAAGTTTCGCTTTCACGGGTTCAATGTTTTTGAATGCTATTTTGAGTTTTAATTTATAATTTGACTTTCAAACTTATGAACGTTGATATTCAAATGTAAATTAACCTTCAAATGTTTGTTTATTGATAAAAGGTGGCCTAATAAAATTCGTGTTTACATGTTGCGAAGTTAAAAGAAAAATAATTACATGGAAGCATCATAAATCAGTTATAATGCGGTATTTTGTTTAAACATTTTGAATGTTCCGTGAAGTATATACTGTGTGTGTAGGTCGTACCTACAGTATCGTGCTCTTCTATGATCTGCCTACGCACCTATTGTCGGTGCCATGCAGCCAAGCATCAGTTAAATGTTAGCGGAGCATTATTATACAGTACGTCCCCTGCAGCTGCTTAGTCAAATAACTTAGGGAAACCTTTCATAAAACTATTTTATATCTAAAGGTCAATTTTATACAAGGATCAAACAAAAATAATCTCCGGAACGTGGTTTAAAATACATTTTAGCTGAAACTCAATGCAACATATATTCCAAATTAACTTCAACCATATTTCATGTTACGATAAAATGATTACCTTATGTAGTGTAGAAATTATCGTCGAGCACCAGACGATAATTTATACAATTATCGTCACCCATAATGAGGCCAGCCCTAAGGTAAAAATAACTGAAGTTTTAAGCGCTATTTTTATACCCACTTTTTAGTAGTAAAAGTATGCATAACGTACGTATAGAATAAAATTAAACAAGTATTTATATTGACACGAAAACGGAAGCTTTTATCTGCTACCGACAGTTGATGGACAATATCCGAATTGAATCAATTAAGAAATTTAAACGCTGGCAATTCACTGTCAAAAGAGCTATCTAGATATACCTACGCATATAATCAAGCTGACATGTTTTAAAAGAAAGTGTCGCAATATTTCAACGCTGCGCTTTAGACAAATGAAAATATGCGAACTTTCCAACAACATTTCTCTAGTACTCGAAACAACAAAGAATGAAGTAATAAATTCAAGAATAAAACAAGTGAATGTGCAATACTGCCACAATGAAACATCTGAGATATGCGGATAATAACAAGACATAAAATAATGTGCTTTCGCAATCGAAATATGTAATTAATCAACATGTTAAATGCGAGTTTATAACCAACTAGCTGCTCACCGTATATCCAATGAGGTTTGATGTAGTTATTGTAGTCTGTTTTGTACCGATACCAAAATATATGAGGATATAAAATGTATCAAGTGTTGCATGTTAGTTCAATGTTTTTAAAATATACATTACCATTAATATCTACTACCTTAAGATAATTTCAGAGTTAAGAAAAGACCATACTTTAAGTTATCCTGTATGGCTAACCGCATCAGCCATATATCTGTTAGCAGTTACGGCCAGTCTAAATAACCATAAATTAGTGATAGAATTTCAACACATTAGAGAAAGAATTAAAATGAATTAAATCAGTGAAAGAATTTACAGACAGAGGTTATTGAGACTATTTGTTAGTGAATGGTGCTACATAGTCTGTGGTTAGCTCGAATTACGTTTAGTTGAATGGAAGCTTGCTATTTATTTCACTTGCTTGTCTCTTCTGTGACGATACGATTTCAATAAGATTAAGCTGTCAATTTTATGAAATGATACCATTGCATTGCAAGTGAACACCAATTACCGTTCATTGATGAAATAAAATAGTGATAATTGTAGTTACATTACCTCACTAGCAGCTGCGCCCAGGTGTGGTTTCCTAAAGTTTCTGGTGAATGTATAGTTTTTTTTCATTCCAACTTCTATTTATAATAAAATTATATAATTTGTTCTATTGATTCGGGACTTGTGCGTACAAACGTTTCAATAATTAGGTATGACTATATAAGGTGGTTAAGTTTCATTCTTAGAAATCAAATCAGGTTAATTGTTAATAAAGTTGTAAGAAAAACCAATATTGAATCGTACATAGATTTTACAAGAAATATTTTTTTCGAACTAATTCTGATTCTATTCTCAAGTGTAAACCTACGCAACATTTAAAACGATTCATTGATTTTATTCAACAAATTGTATAAAATTTCATTTAGTAAGACGAGTAACAAATTGACTTCCTTATAATCTGGTGAAAATAGGATATTACCCGCGTTGTATATTTAAAAAAATGTTTACTAAATGAAATTGAACCCTAGAACCTTCTGGATTAAATAATGAAAGTTACTTTATGTCAATAAGTTGATCGTAATTTTACATCATCATTCGCAAAATATTCTCTGTTGAACAAAGGCCTCCCCTTATTCTGCCTCGTCGAATAACAAACCGCCACTTACATTTAGCGGTTACCCGTGACTCTGACAATGTCGACAGAAAGCCACTAAATAACTTCACATTTCTTCAAATTTTCAGTTCAATTCGGTATCGTGTTGATGAAACCAGGCAAAATATAAAATAAACTTGATTAATAATAAAAAAACACCCCACGTAGACGGAGAATAAACGTGAGAAATGAAAAACTTTCATTATTATAAAATAATAGGTATGTACACCTATTTTATAAAATATCATAACCACAAGCGCACAGGCTGTGTTTGTCGTTGATTTTCATATAATTGGCGTGGGCGCTTATAGGGAAAGCGTCAAAGTTTTTAACAATCGTGCTTCTGGCAAAGTTCGTTGATTCTTTGAATTTATTGTTCAAAAACCTAATGAAATTAAATGAAAGGAACTACATACAAAGTAATGTTTTGTATTAATTACCATGTCTTTGTGCCTACCACAAAATAACACAATTATTATTTGATCGTTTTCATGTTGGTTCGGATAAAAAGGACAATGACAATAAAGAATGATTTTGTCTTAAAAGTACATGTTCCCATATATGCACAAGAAATGTAAATGGAAAATCAAGTTGAAAGAAAAAGAAATATAAAAGGAAAACCTTTAAAAAGAAACATAGGAACCCTTTTAGAATATGTTAGATTATTTCCTAAACTACACTATGGAAGATATGTGTCGATGGAGTGAATGTCAACAGTCACCCATATTCATCCTAGAAATGCATCACTCGGTGATAAACTCAATATTGTGCGGGGGCGTTAAATGCTACTAGGGATCTAAGCCAAAGGTTAGCCATTTATACCTACTGTTTACGTATGAAGATACTTCTAATGATATCGATATGTTTTTTTTTATTAAATAGAAACATAATTAGAACAAAATTAAGGTGAGCCTTTTTGCTACCGTTTGCAGTTAATGCTAAATTGTTTTATGAAAACAATTTAATTCTTAATTTAATTATTTTCTGGACAATATTTAACAGGCACTGATATTCATTGAAATTGGTTCAGCAATTCAGGCGTAAAAGATTAACCAACAAACCAATTAAAAAGTACATTGGTCGCCCTAGATTTTTCGGCGGTGTGGGCGGTGCCTTTATAAAGCCATTCCTTTTTATTTGTCCCTATAATAATTTGTGTATTACACAGAGAATTGTTCTGTACTCTAGTCGGTCGTCAGGCTACTGTGCTAATTGTGTAATTAAAATAATATTAACATGCGTTATTTGATTGAACAGTTATTGCAATGTCAATGCCCAAAAGTCTATCCAAAAGTCTATTTCTTGACGTATTTGCAATAAACCAATCTCGGTTAATCAGGCAGAGATTTTCTTCTATAGAATCTATTAGCCTTTCCTATGCGTTGAATGAGACTCCAGAGAGTGAAGGAAGTAAGCCTTAATTTGCATTTGCAATTCAAGTAGTACGGTATGCAGGAGTATCTAAGCTTGGGATTTACATGCGATTTGCCAGACACCAGCAAATGAGCACTGAGATCAAACTTATGGAATATTCTACGAACATAAACATTGACGTTATTGTATTCCCTTATGAGAATTAGATTTACGAACCGTACCAGCTTTTCAATTATTTAAATTGCAAATTATTGTGGCACGTGTCCAATTTTTATCGCATACTTTGGTTTCAACGAGAATGGTGAACGTATGTGATTGGGGACAGGTAGTTAACTACCTGGCCATTTTGCTTTACATTCAGTAGGCGCGTCATGTCTATGATTAGACTGCGCCTGTTCTGTCGCATATCATATCATTTGATTTCATTAACCGCCGCTGGCTACTATTGTACGGACGGAAGCGGCCGGTCGCTATTGTACCGACTCTATTCCCCTCATCCAACTTCGTTCACAAAACGAGATTATTTTTTATTCATTTTTCTACTTGGATAGCTAACATAAAAATCTCTGGGCTTATGAAACTTCAAAGGATTTGTTGCTGTGCGAATATTTATAAAGAACTTTTATAATGTTATATCTATTTCTATTAAATCTAATTTTTTTCGTGGCGTGGGTTTCATTCAACAGAGTTCTCTTTATAAAGAATCCTCGTCATGTTTCAATTTTTTTAACTTCAGTTTCAATTATATTTAATTATTTTTTCACATCATATTAAATTGTGTTTGATAGAAAACAGGAACAGAACAATATTTTAGGTTAGACATTACCGGTCGTAAATGGAACCGATGCCAACAAACGCATTCTGTTTACGATTTCTAATAACCAATGACTGAATTACAAGCATTACGTAGTATCATAACCTTGCCACTGCATTTACCAGAACCAGCCAATACCTGGTAGTTACGTAAACACCTATAAATTTCGAAGCGGCTAGTTGGTTCGTAATCGTTCGGCGGCACATTTAGATTTATCTTCTATGTATAAACAAAACATTTCACTGTCGGCGTTTCGCAATCACTAATATTA